GTATGTGGGATCCGAACCCTCGGCGGGAGCGCCGCCACACTCCCAAGCGGCGCACTGTAGGAGTGCGCCACCAGGCCGGCCCCCAATACATATAACTTTTGACAGCATTTACTATGCTTAGGATGTATGGACCTGGAGATAGATACAAAGATAACAAGAGACACAATCTCTACTCTCAAGTCTTTCCCATTAGTACCTAGGTTAATATTTGATGGATGGGAGTCTCTGCTCTGCAGGGGGAACATCTTTAAAATTCTGCCTATCACAGATGCCTCTGNAGAGGAAAGTCTCCAGAAAAAAATATCGAATGTCTCACTAGTCAAAAGAACAAAGGGAAGCATCAGTAAGATCTGGGGTTCTGCAGGTGAAGCTGGGGAAATATCAAAGAGTTAAAATTAAATGTCATATCTGTATGATGGGTAGCCTAGTTTCAACTGACACCATTCATCCCTATGACTGTAGCATTTAAAAATGCTAAGCTTAAGATCTTTGCTGATCTTTAAAAAAGGATCACACTGATTGGTTTGACAAAGAGTTACAGCAGGAGAGATATTAGTAACATTTCATTACAGAAAACGGATACAGAAAATACTCAAATATTCCCTTACATAAAAATTATTTGCTAGATCACTTATTTGCTATTAATGTCTAATGTCTAATTGATAATTGCCAAATAATACTTCTTACATTGTAATGACCCGTTGCAGAGTTTTAGAACTAATAATTTGTACATAGATTCATCGCTCATCAGTATCCGGGCTGCATCCAAATTCACTGGATTCTCTAGCACTGGATTAGAAAGCATAACCTATAGAGAAGCATATACAACATACAGTTTTTAAAGTACAGTTTTTCTTGGAGTAAAAAGACAAACCAATACATATAACTTTTGACAGCATTTACTATGCTTAGTATGTATGGACCTGGAGATAGATACAAAGATAACATGAGACATAATCTCTACTCTCAAGTCTTTCCCATTAGTACCTAGGTTAGTATTTGATTGAATAACTGCAGGGTGGGAGTCTCTGCTCTGCAGGGGGAACATCTTTAAAATTCTGCCTATCACAGATGCCTCTGNCTTTGGTCTTTGGCTAGAAATATAGTCTTACTCAGACAAGCACATCTGGTAAAGTTTATTCGATAGGCTTCTCATTAACCACTGTGCCTAAGACCTATTCATATAATGTATACACATGTTATTAAGTGTATTTAGTGATTTTAAGAACTGGAATATAAGGTATATATTAAAATGTGTAAGTCAGATAACCTTGCAAAAGTAGTAAAAAAATAAAAGTCCAACATTTAAATTAGCAGTGCAGTACTATGAAATAACATAAGAAGCTCTCCAGGGAATAATACAAAAATTTGAAGTAAATAACTGTACCAGTAGATATATTTTATAATGAATAAGATTATAATTAATTAAGGCCCATGAATTTGGAATTCATTCTACGGATGGATGTTGATATTTACCGTTGCATGATATGTGGAAGTACAAGTTTTCAAAGAAATTAAGATTATAAAAATTTTTGGTAGTGATGATTAGTATATTTAGACTTCAGAATATTTTAATATTTCAAGTACTATCTCCTTGAATAACAATGTGATAATGAGAAATGTGTCTCATATGTTATTCAAAAGGAAATAGTAATTATGGTCTATACTTTTATTGTCCATCACAGTTAGGCACTAGTCACAGGTAGTGATTTAAATTTAAATTACTTAAAATTAAATAAATCGAAAAACTCAGTTCTTCAGTCATACTAGCCACATGTGACTAGTGGCTAGTGTATTGGACAGCACAAATATGGGACATTTGGGTCAGTGCAGAAAGTTCTAGTGGGCAGCAATGACCATCAAAGGATTATTGAATAGCCATTAAAATATTGATAGTAGCAGAGTGGAAATTACTTGAAATAAAGTGTTAAGTGAAAAAGAAACAGGCTGTATAATTTATACACACATACCATAATGGCAACAATGTAAAAGTTCTGGTTCATTCATTCATTCATATTTTTTAGTACGTACCAAATGTTAGCTTTGTCCTGGGTAGGTACTAGGGAATAAAGGATGAATTAGACCTGTTTCCTAATTTCGAGGAACTTGTAGTCCAATAGGGACAACAGATAAGGAAACAGTACATGCATTACAGTATCATAGTGTTCGAATAGAAATCTGCTTAGGGTACTGTTGGGTGTGTGGCAAAGGAGGCTCCCCCAAAACCAAAGCCATCATTTCTACCTAGAAATCAGGACAGGCATCCCAGAGGAATACTCATTTGAACTGACTCTTAAAACAGGAATACTCATTTGATCTGACTCTTAAAACACGAACACCTGCTTGCTAGGCAGACTGAAGAAGAGGGAAGGAGAAAATGAGTGGCCAGTCAGATGGGGAACTAAACTGAGCATTTTTTAAGGTCTAAGACTTGCTTGGGTTTGTAACTTTAGAGTTTAGAACTTTATAAATGTTTTTTGACTTGAGTTAAACCAAGCAATGTGAATGCAGAGAAACATGAAGATATGAACAGGAGTAAGACTGCATGGTATGTCAGGAGGAGTCTGAAGCCCAGGTATGAGAAGTACATCATTTGCCATGCAACAGAATATGTGCTTAAGCCTGTACAGAATGTGGGAATCACTGAAAGATTTTAAACAGAAACACAGGAGAAAAGATCAGAAGGAAGTGCTAATAACAGCAGGGTTAGGGTTTTTCTTTATGACTATCAATGATTTTATTTTCCTTTCCATTACCTTAAAAATCTTCTATAATGTGGGCATATTTGTTTTATTAATGTATTTGAAAAATAAAAAGACAAACGACTGTGTTATCTACTGGTTTTCCATGATATCTTTGGTAACACTTTGTTGTCACTTTGCATAACTTTTTGTTGTTGTTGTTTTGTTTTGTTTTTGTGACTGGTAAGGGGACTGCAACCCTCGGCTTGGTGTTGCCCGCACTGCGCTCAGCCAGTGAGCGCACCGGCCATCCCTATATAGGATCCGAACCCGTGGCCTCAGTGCTCCCTGCCCCGCAGTGCTCCCAGCCCTGCTGTGCTCCCAGCGCCACACTCTCCCGAGTGAGCCACGGGGTCGGCCCCTGCATATAACTTTTTAATAGTAAGAACATTCATAATATTAACTTACTACTAACTACTAAATTATTTTCTTGGACCAGGCACAGTTTTAAATACTTTACAAGCATTAATTAATTTCATCCTCACATGTCATATGAGGTAACTGTTAATTAACAGCCCCATTTTACTGATGAAAGATATTGAGGCATTGAGAAGTGAAGAAGCATTTTCGATGGTACAAGCTAGCAAGAGCCAGAACCAGGATGTGAAGTCAAGCAATCTAATCTCAGAGTCCTAAATTTTCCTTTTATTAAATTATTCTTTAATCCAAGATTTTCACCAGTTCATTTTGGTTTGCCCTCACTCTTTTGTTTTTGGAACATTCAGTTTTATTATTCTTGGGGCAGACCTTAGTTTAGGTAGAAAAGATGGGAATATGTCTCACTTTGAAGGAATCCAAAAGATCAACCCCAGATATCTGCATATCACACTCAATTCCTTAAAATTTTTGCTTGAATGTCTCTTACCCAGAACACAGCCTCAGAAAGGTAGATGCTCAATATATGTTTGTAGAATGAATGAATGAATGAGTCAATCAATTGAACACTGAATCTTTTAAAAAATTACATTTTCCTCAATATATGAAGTTGACTACCTAAAAAATTATTATTTATTTCCAAAAATAAGAAATGGGAGAAATGGAATTTGTATTATAATTCTGTTGAAATAATTCAATTAAGTCAGAATATTTTATTCTCCAGGTATTCCAGATAATCATAATTTAATGTTTATCTCCAGATATTACTGATAAGTAGGTCCATGGATAGAATACTGCTAAGCCCAATCTAAGTGGTCAAAGCAAGTGCCACAGAAATAACTTA